TAAGCTTCTTCGTTAACAAAAGACTTTGTGGGAAAAATTGCAATAAATTCAGAACTTTTTGTTCGCCGAGGCCGGAGACCCTTTGATGAGGTGTGTATCGTATTGTCTTGCTAAAATGTTGCAAATACTACCTTTTACAACACGAACACACTAACCTGCCGATCAGAATTAATTATTAATGTAAATGTTGTAAATATAATAATGACTTGTCCTTTCTATTCGCCTGTTTGCTTTAGCAAAGTTTCACTTAATTGTTCACACGATAAAGCAAACGTCACTGATCGAGAAACGTGAGTCACTGCACTTTATGGTTGTAACTTACACTAAAATGATACACTATGAAATGCGGGTCAATGTGCATTGTGCATTATGCATAAATGTAAAATGACCAGACCAATATTAAAGTTATTTACTTTATCATGTTTATTGGCCCATTTAAAAAGCTTTTAAATAGTGGTTAAATAACTAATTAGGTGTGTTAAATATATGTAGCTATTCACTTCTTAAGATATTTAATTAACAACTCATTCAGCCCAGGACAGTTACACTTTGTATTATGATATATCAAAACTTCAGTGCATCGGCGCCTTCTTTAATCTTTAATATAGATAATTAACATTAGTCCGTGTTTGACTCATTGACAGTCTAGTTGTAGCGAGTCTAGATTACAGCAACGGCTTATATTTAATAAATTATATTTTGATATCGGTTGAAAACTTCTAAATCGGTTCAAATAACATCAAATCGCTGTAACCAAAACTGTTACAGAAAAGTACATGAACGACCACTTTGATTATGATTAAGATGATGAATTTCCAGTGACGTATATAACGTGTTGTCTTATTGTATTCAAACTCTCGTCCCAAGCTCATTAGCCTTTGTAAGGTTTAGCACTAGTATATTTGTAAGATAGGGTCATTGTTCAGGCACTCACATGATGAACTCTCAAGAAAATTTATTGTTCTGTCAGTCAATTATACGTTTTATGCTCTGTTGTGGCCCCAAAATTTACAACCATCTGCTCTGCTTGTTACCATGGCATTTTTTAGTTCGTTAAATTCTTTAAATATCCTGCAATAACTTTCTTATCCAAACTGTGTCTAGTTTAACTTTTCAATGAATTATTCTAGTAATGTCATAATCGATGTCAGATGCAATACTGATATTTTCAAAGCTTTAAGCTAATAATCTTTACTGGAATTTTAGGTATCCTTTTTGATAAGCTTGATTTGACAATGTTGATTATGATGGTATCTTTATTTTAAAAATGTCACTCTAATGTTATGAAATCTTATCTTATAAAACTGTTCACTGAGTCTGTTTATACTTTTATAAAGAGACATTTTAAATCACTGTTAAAAAATCGTGTTAAACATGTAGATTTATCAAAAACTTCATGTTTCGTTGATAATTGGATGAAAATTTGTTAAAATTTGAGATGAACACAGGGCAAAGACAACATGTAGGTGCGATAATATTTTGTAAATAGTGCGATTCCGCACCTGCCCAAAACATTTTTATGCGCGGCAAAAAACACCACAATTAAGCTGAGCAACTCTTCTAATTTGCTTTTAAGTACTCTCAGGTCGGATTATCCAACAGCGTAGTTTATAACGTTGCCTTACAGGGTTGTTTATGTGTGTCTTATAGGTGTAATGTCCTACATTGAGTTTCCTGACAATTCAATATGTATAAACCCAGAATTATCCTCATAGGAAATCTTACAATAAGATGAGCAGGATGGCTGGGCTAGTTGAGCTCGTGGTGAGCATAATTGAAGTAGATTATTCAATATAATTAGTATAACTGTATAAACACATTGTGTGTTTAAGCGACTAACTTGACTCTTTTGTTTTTTATCAAAGATGAACCTCTAGCTCTTTCGTCTTTATACCGCAACGTCCGGGAGCCTTAAATGTCCTCTTCTTAACACCCGGTTCCAGTCCGGCAAAAATCCGGCAATCCGGAAAATAGATTTATATCCGGCCATTTCCAGTCCAGCAGCCAGCACCAGACCCCAGACCGGTCGGTTCCTAATTGCAATAATATGCAACTTAAAGTTTTCCAAATTCGGCCCAAGAAAACATCACAAAAATTCGATTTTACCCAGCGTCAGGTCGTAAAACATACTGGAAATAATTGATATTCTCAACTAATTCCATTATTTCTCCTCATAAATTGGATCATTCAAGAAAATCGTTACAACTAGTATAATAGAAAGTCTCGTTACAAGAAAGTACCACCTGGCGTCCCCCCACTGAGCTCATGGGATTGTGAAACAACAACGACAGGTTCGGTAGTCCGATCATATTTCACATGTTTTGTCCATTACGTTGCACACCCAGAAATGTGTCTTTAAGTTTTAACCACTTTGCGCAAGTTACACAACGCTCTCGACGTTTTGATCGATTTGATGCTTATTATTGCTATTTTAGCCATTTTTGATGTAAACTAATGCGTGAAATAATACTTAACAAATTTAATTGATTACGGTGAAATAATAAAGAAACGTTATACTATTGACCAGGTCATGATAAAAGAGCTAACAGTGACATTAATCATTGGGCTAATAAATCTAGTCCAGCCAACGGGTTTCTGCTACGACGAGAAATGCTTTTCCGAATCAAGGAACTCTTACTTCGACTGCGATCAACAGGACTATCATTGCCTCGGTGATAAATGCCTTGACGGATCTAGTTTTGATTCTGACACTTTGTGGTGCGGATATGACGAAGAATGCGATCATTCAACCTACTCAGGAAAAGCCATTTGTCGACAAGATACTAACCACAAGAGTTTTCTACAAATGTACTATGTGTATGTAGTGATAGCTGTAGGATCAGGACTAATGGTAATGTTAGTAGTAGGGGTGTGCTGCTGCTACTGTCTGGGTACTTGTTGTTGTGTTAGCAGATCTAGAGGAGGAAGGGTTCTGTCACAACCGGACCAGCAACAAGGTGGTTATCAAATGCAAGTCCCTCCTGTCTCACCACAACCACAGCAATACACGGGGGAGGCGTTCCTTTACCAGTCAAACTACAACCAGTCACAAACTGGTGGATATCAACCTCAACCTGGTGGATTTCAACCTCAACCTAGCGAATATCAACCTCAACCAGAGGGATATTCATCACAAACCAGCCCTCCAGGGTACTCTCCACAGCAACCAGGGGGGTACCCTCAACAACCTCCACCTTACCAAGACTCTCGGAACGATAATGGTTTCAATTAATTATAATTAATTAATTATAGTGGTAATTATTATAGTGGTAAAGCGTAGAATATTCAAATTGGATGATCGAGATGGTATTCTCCATTATTGTGGTTTTTTAATAGTAATATGATGTGGTGTGACGTGGTAATATAGAGTTAGTGATTATTTATTGAACACACTACACTATATCAGAAACTATTTGCCAAAGATCAACAGCCAATCAAACCAGGGCATGCAACTGTATCATTGTATGCATTACATCATCAACTTTCAGTAATATTTCAGACGAAATTTAACCACAATCAATCATTCTGCATGCAGTGAGACTTATGAGTAGAAGCATTAAATCATACTATTGAATTTTGTAACAAAATTTTGATCATATGATATTCATGCAGTGCTCACTGGTCGACTCTTCAATCCTTTCAACCTCATCTTTAACATTCGTAACTAAATCTGGTTTCTTAGATCCTGGGTTTCACGGAGTTTGATTCAAATTTAACCAAATGTTACGTATCTTGGAGACTGTATTGATCATTTGAATTCAGATTTAATTGAAATTTAGCCGTTGTGATTTGTATTATAATATTTGCGTTGAGTTATTTGTCAAGCAAGCAGCATTAATCAAATATCAGCAGGGAAAGTGCAGCCTCATGCGCTGCAAACCAGATACTGATGCTTCTTCACTGGGTTTCTCGGCAGACTCATCTGTGGCTTTCTCTGCTTCAACTTGGGCTCCTGCTTTTTCCAACGCCGCTTTAGCCTCCTCCTCAGCTTCTCTTTCAATTTCCTCTAAAAACCTTCTCGTTTCTTCTGATACCTTCTTCTGTCCCTGCTCCGCCCCGTCAGCAGACTCTTCTTCTGTACTAGTCTTAGTTTCTGCTTCTTGCGAGTCAGCCTCTGTTTCTTCTACAGTAGCCTCTGGTTCCACTAAGGCAATTTCCTCGTTATTTTGCGGAATTTCCTCATGGACTGCTTCCCCTTTCTCTTCTAAAACTATCTCTGATTCATCAGGTTCTGGTTCCTCTGCAGTTTCAATTATGACTGGAAGTGGTTGAGGTACTACACCTGTAACTTGGTGTAACACGTTTACATAAACAACATAACAATAACATGCCACAAATTCATCCAGAGAACAGAGAGATTGCAAGATATGCTATTATTGTAGCCATTATTTGGGTGAGAGTAAGTTAAGGATGGGTCACATTCCACAAGGTGATTACACGACCAAGATACAGAAGGATACAATACCATAGAAACAGACAAACATTTCAATGATTAATGTAATTATGATTAACTTTTTGTTTCAAATTATCAAACATATGTATAATGCCAACTTACTGATTATAAAGATGAATAAGTAACGTACGGCGAGTTGACTTAATGAGTATGAGATGAACTTAGTGCTGTTTTAAGATTGCAGCCTGTTTCAAGATGGCAGCCTGCTGCAGTTCAGCAGCCTGCTGCAGTTCAGCAGCCTGCTTTAAGTTAGACATGCCAGCAAGAGGCTGGTTGGTCATGTCGATGAAGCGAATATTTTGTTGAGGAGTAGAGAGGGTGAAGCTAGGAGGAAATGAAGTGAGGTCTTGTGAAATTTGTATGCCTGAAAATATTTAAATTGTATGATCAGTGAAGTAGCACAGATGATTGAGTGTGATTAGATTATGATAATCAGAATACACACATTCAGAGCAAGGTGAGATTAAATGCGTGCCACCACTAAATGACATATCTCATATTCTCATTAGTATTAGTTAGATAAAAACAAGCAGCAGTAAAAACTGACCTTCTGGAGCTGGGGTCGCCTTCTTCCCTTCAGCAGCTTGACCGTTGGCTACTGCTGAACCTTCTATCTCTGCATCGTTTGGTTCTGAAGAAGTGTCACGTGTGAATGTTGTACGGTTAAACAACAAGACCTGATTTCTGGCAAATTTAATTTTCTGTATTTAAATAGTAACATTAACAAGATATTTTATATTTTCAAATAAAGAATTACCTGATTCTGCTGTATCTATGACATTGCCATCCTCATCAAATTCAAGTTCGTCTCCGAATGCCAACCTGATTTCTGCTTTCGCCCTGGTTTCGTCTGTTGGTGCATGTACAGCATTCTTTAGGATATTTTTTCCTAGCAGCGCCCTTATACTGAAATAAACTCATTCCAGCTTCCAAAACATACTAAGTTTCTTAAATTATTCAATATGCAGCCCTATCTTCTTAAATTTTAACATTTCAAAAATGAAGTTGAAAGTACTGATCAGAGTAAACAAACCTCTCAGGAGCACTCTTCTTAGCCTCCTCCGGATCAGCAGGGCCCGCAATATCTCTCATACCAGAGATAGCATCCTCTCTTGACAGGACCATGAACATGGTGGGTCCGCTCGTCATGAACTCGGTCAACTCCCCGAAGAAGTCCTTGTCTTTGTGCTCGCCGTAGAACTGTTCCACTACGTCCTTTGTCAAGTGGGTCTCTTTCTGGGCTTGGATGTGGAATCCAGACGATCGGATCTTATCCATTATGACGTCTGTTATGGAGGGTCGGTGTTAGGAGGAGTTATTAATTAAAATTATTAAGGGTCACTGTCAACTTATGATAAGTGAACTACTACATAGCTACATGTACAATTATAAAATATTCAAATCTAATGTAAATTTATGGGGTACCAGAAAACTATGGTAAACTTTATGGAGCAATTTCTCTAACTTGAGATATACTTTGGAAGCACAACTTAAATCATAAAAAAGTAGTAATAAAATTACAGATATAATCTACTAACCCTTCTCTTCCTGGCTGGTATCCGGCTTGATGACAGCTAGGGTTTGCTGTTTGGGGAAGAAGAAGTTCACCTCCCGTTCCGCACTCTCCAAACTGTCAGATCCGTGCAGTGCATTCAGTGCTGGGTCTTCCGCGTCCTCGATAAACTGCGCTCGTAAACTAGGAGAACGAGGTCTCAGATCGGGTAAATAGAAAGTGTTGCGCAGTTAATGATTCTCATGCTGCGCACGCTCCACTCTCCCCGGCTATTACACATATTTAAAGCCGATAATTCCTCTAACCAACGTTTTTATCTATAAGAATACTTCATGATGTTATTTTAAATGAATAATTTAATGAATACTTTATTGAATATTTAATGAGAACATTGTGAGAGTTAATATACGCATTCAGAGGGAACAAGTAAGATAACATTGAAAGAAACAATATAACATAGTACATACCCATGAAGAAACGAGTAAGATTGCAACTTCCTCATTTATGTAAACGACATGGAAGAATAAGATAAGTAAGAGATCGTTCACGTTTAATTACGTAAGCCACTTTAAACACAGCTTTTTTATACAAATTACAGAGCTTTCTCAAACCCCCTCCCCCTGGCTTACGTAATATGTGAACTTTCCCTGACAGGAACATCTTATAGTATTAAAAATAATCATGCAGTAGTCAGACAAGTTTGAGATAGTAGGTTACGGAACTCTAGCCTCTAAGAAATACTCAGAAACTCTGCCTTTCATAAACGGTGTACCAGTTAATGTTATGGCACACTAAATGATGTAATTATTAAATATTGAAAGGAGCACTTTTGTTCGAGTCAACATCATGGTAGACAAGGATCGTGACGTTAACACCAAGGAAACTAACCAAGTGAGAAATATTCTGTGGAAAGTTTTTCAAGAAATTCGTTCCAACGGTAATGGTATCAAGACAATTTTAGGCTTTCTGGCTGCGGCAAAATCATCATAGGACAATTCCTTTGCTGTAAAGGCTTTAAAACTCTAGGACACTTTTGTGAACAACCAGACTGCTTGAAGATAGTCTGGACACCCTACGTGCCCCACTGTGCCTACCAACCTCTAACCCTGGGATTCAAAGCAGAACCTTATACCTAGATAATCAACTGCAGTTACCAGAGGCCCACAAATGGAGCGATCATAAAAAATGCTTAAGGGAGTGTGATGTGAAGAATTCAGCAAAAAGGACATGATAATGTTCGAGTCCTGAGGGCTCAGAAACGAATAGGACACGGAAAAAATTGTTTTGTTTCAAGAAAAAAATTGTTCTAGACAATATTTAACTTTGTACTCTTGTACGATGTACTAGAGCAAGGCGACACAGAGACAAAAAGCGTACCTACATCAGGACAACAACTTACTCAGGTTCTTCACTGAAATAAATCTTAATTCTCAAAATCAGCCACTATCTCTATCCACTTATCACGTGCTTTGTAGCGTGCAGGACGGTCAAGGCAACGGGCAGCAATTACACAGTTTTCAGTAAAATAATAGAAATCAGCTATGTGCTTCACTCACGAAGCAGCAAGTTCCATCGAGTGATAAGATTATGGAAAGAAAGACGTAGTCTCAGTTGAAATACTAACTACCTCTCCGGAGCGATGTCCTTGGCCTCGTCCACGTTCTTTGGTCCCAACATGTCCCTCCAGCCGGTAACTGCGTCTTCTCTACACAGAGCTAGTGCCATCACTGGTCCACTGTAAATACACAGTTTCAGGCTAATTGAAAGTTAAGGTGGAAGTGACAGATATAGGCTGACCCGCTGAAAGTAAAAGAAATAAAAAGAATACTTCATTTTCGAATCTGAAAAAAGTATCATCTTTAAAATTTGGTGTTTAAATGTCCATCTAACCTGCTCATATGAGTAACAAGCTTATCAAAGTAGTCCTGATCAGCATGTTCCTTGTAGAACTCGGCTGCTTGTTCCGGAGTGAGTGACACTTCCTTCGCGTTTGCGATTTGGAACCCTGATGCTCCAATCTTTCCCAGTATGTCGTCTGAAGAACGAGAGTAGTTTAGTCTTAGATACCAAGCATTATTATACTTTCAGGGATACTCATACAATACTGCAAACTTATTCTGGAATTTTCTTTGATTTTACAGTGAATACAAACTAAGTAAAATAATATTTTAGATGGACCACCACACGAATAAAAACGCCAGTTTTACTCAACCACAATCCAGCTCAACCGCAGTCTAACTAATGCTGACTCTGTTTCAGTGCTTGTTGCACGAAACGTGTGCACACCATGCAAATTTTAATAAATATTTGATGACTATGCGTGATAATAACCAATAGCTGATCATGCACAAGGCTCAATTGTCAATCAGACCCCCGCTGAGATCGTATGTTAATATATGCTTATATTATCATGAAAAGAGTGACAGCATATGTGCTCGATAATTCAACAAATTCGAACCAAGTACGAGTTTCATGGACAAAAGGAGGTAAATGTTTTACGCTGTATAAATAATAAATATAATAGAGATTCAAACAGACGTTGGTTTAAGAAATAGTTTTTACCTTTGTATTTTCTGAGAGCATCAGGTCTGATAAGAGCTAGTGTTCTCTGTACTCGAACAACTTTAGAAGGTGAAGCTTTTGATCTCTTCTTGTGGAAGTCAGGGAAGAAGAACGCAAGCTCCCTGGGAGTTATGTTTGTTTAATAAGGCAGAATTCTATCAGGTTTTAGCAATGGTAAACATGCACTACAAATCACAGATTCGTGATTCTAACACTATTTGTGCAGCAGAAAACAACTGAGGTATCATATCCGTATTTAAGTTACTGACTCCCAATCAGAAGAACCTATGATAAAGTATTACCTTGCTGCCAGATCTGCGGTATCAGAGCCGTGGAGTGCGTTCATCAACTCCCCGCCACTACCAAACTGTGCACGCAAACTCTCGGGTGCCTCTTCCTTGGCAATGGTCACATCTTTGGGTCCTATCAGGATCCTCCACTGAGTCACAACGTCTATACTTTCCTTTTGTGCCGCAAGAGCTAAAGCTATTATTGGCCCACTGAGAATACAATTTGAGTTACTTTCACCAGTAATAGGTATACATAATATTATTGTCTCTTAATTAGGGTTTCAAAGTTACAATAGTGAACATATTTTAATGGTATCAAACTGACAAAACTTCACCTGGTCATGTAGTCGATGAGCTGGAGGAAGAAGTCAGTTCCTTCGTGCTGTGAGTAGAAGTTCTGGGCGTCTTCACGACTCAATGTGGTCTCCACTTTGGATACCACATCAATACCACAGTCGTCCATCTGAGGAACATTACAGTGAGTGGAAGAAGTGATGCGTTGAATGCAGATGTTTCATTATAACCACGCACGTAGTAAAATGTGAGAGTGATTCTGAGAGTGATAAGAATCGAGAACTGAAGTAAGTAGGGTTGGCATCTAGATAATATCTCAATAGGATTATCTAGATAAAACCCATAATTTCTTTATCTACTTATTTAGATACTACATATTTGTTTATTTGTTGCCCGATGTTTCTTAGCTGATCAATCCCAAAAAATTATTTTATTTTCGAATGTCCAGTTCGTGGCCATACTCAGGACAAACTTCTTGGTTGGTCAAATTAGGGTCGAACAACGATAAAGGTATTCTAATCTTGTGATACAGTTGAGACACAATTCTGCATTTATGATAAAGATTGATAAGACAACTAAATTACATACATAAAATAACAGAATAGCTGTAACATTTAATCAATTCATCAGATACCTTGATTTAATATCACATCGCCTATCTGATAAATCACTTTTTATTTAAACGGCAAATACAAACAATTTATACTGAGTTGCTTGTACCTCTCGAAATTCAAAGTGTAAGATGAAAATAATACTAAATCAAAATAATAAAATAAACCTTATGTTTACCCAACTGTTGTACACCGATAAACATAAAAAACCAAGCAGATACATTCTATCTCAAAATTAGTGAACTTTAGAAATCAACAAATTGCAAATAAAGAAATTAAATGCATTGCAACTAATAACACTGCATATCATCAATATTTGTGAATAATCGCTTAACTGTCTCAAACAATATTTCATATTCAGCTTGATACTGTCTGTGGCTCTGTATTTCAAAGAATGTCATGGTCCGTTGTATCACTAATCACTATTGGCTTCAATAATCTTTGTTCGTATTCCATTATTCGCAAATCCCACAGTTATCTTGCTGCACAGTTAAAATAACAGTAAGCTGAGGAATTCTACCAGACTGGCTTGGAGCTGCATAAACCAGATGGAGTCCTTGAAGCTCACCCCATGGATTGACAGTGCATGGTGGAGCTCGAGATCGAACCTTCAGCCTTCCGCTCTCGAGCAGGTGTACGAGCTGCTTCTACACCAGACATGGCGATATGTACGACTCTTTCCTTGGTTCTCCCAATCTTTAGACTCTTGACTACATGCTCACTGAAACTCTTGTACAGGAGCGTGTAGACGACTGGATTTGCCACGATATTCAGGATGACTAGCTGCTCTGAAGCAAACTTTACAATCTCCGACTCGGCGCTGATATTGAGATGTTTGCTTATGAGAAGAAATGGGAGATACGATATCATGAAGATCCAGCAAACTGTGGAGACCATAGCAATTGCTTTCATTCCACTTTTTCTGCCAGGGAATGCGGTACCAGCTGGACGTTGTGCTTTCCAAACGAAGAAAAGGATGGCAAGGTTGGTGAGAATTAGAAGACCCATCACAATTAATCCGTAGATTATCTTGAGCAAGCCACCAAATCGGTCGTCTGTTTTGAAGGAACATCTCAGAAGGTTTGGTTCGTAGTAGGAGTAGCACGTGGTGTTTTCATTAAAGAAGCATCTGAAAATCTTTGAGTAGTCGATAATCAGAAAGAAGAGGAAAATCAAAGGAGAAATGATCTTTGTAGCCAGGTGCATGTTGGAGTGGCAGTTGCATGGGCGCAGGATCATAACCAGCTTAGCCAGAGACAAAGCTAGGACCAAACTCATCTCCACCATGAAGAGAGGATACCTCACAAAAACCATGATAATTCCTGCTTCTCTTAGGATCCAGGAATCAGCAATCAGACTGACGCTTTGGGGTAGGACGTGGAAGATGGTCAAACCTGCATCTGTCATTGCAAGATAGCGAAGAAGAGTGATAAGCGTTTCATCAAATTTGCAGACATTGACACTGAAGGTGCTTCTTATTACGATACCGTTTCCTAAAAGTCCTAAGACAACAGCGATGACCATATATGGTATCAAAATCCCTCTTATGGTTGGAGCTGGGATCCCGTAGTCAGAGTCACTTATCGAGGTGGAGAAGGAGGAAGTGTTGAACGTTATCATGAGTCCTTTAAAATATTATTGTGAGATTTTTCTGCTTTATAAAAATAGAAATACTCGGACGGAGGTTTTACTTCTAAATCCACATAAATATTAATATGCAATTCTTTTAAATTACCACATTAAAAACATAAAATAGACCTTGAAGTTGACAAAACTGAAAACATATGCCAAAAAATGGCATTCAAAGGAACATCAGAGAAATAATATGACATAAGCGGAATTTCACCGGTGCAGGCTACTCGATTGATTGAGTAGAACAACTAAAAGTGAGTAAGTTAAACAGTAATAATAATTAACCATAATTTTTCGCTCTCTTGAGTGGGTCAATTATATTAGTTTATTGGGGACGAAACGCAGCCAAAACATCGACAATACAATAAGTATTTTGTTTTACACTGAGTGGAGACTCTTATTTCTTCCCCAATAATCTAGTAATACTAATTAATAATACTAATTATTAGTAATACTAATTAATAATACTAATTATTAGTAATACTAATTAATAATATCTGCTGCAATGACATCCCTGGTGATTTCTGGACGTGCTCGAGAGTTTGCTGGATCCACTCAGCTCCATCATATCATCAGCGAGTTTGTTTCAGCAAACAAAACTACGTGTAAAACAAGAGAGCCTCATAAAATTGGTGATAAGCAACTGATAAAGTGATGAGCGGGCACTAATGACTAATACACAAAAGTATTGAAAAATGTTATTACTGAAACCACGATGTAACTACTGGAACTATGAACGTAAGTGAAATTACTGGGACCAGGACACTAAAGCAGAGGGCAGTATGTTGAGGACACTTTAAGAAAATTCGTTCTACATGTTCCCAAATTAATGGCTCTTCCTATAGCCATTTTTATCATTAACAAATTGCTGTTATTAATATTGAGAAGCGCAGCAAACATACAAAGATAACAATGCAGTAGTAGCAAAGATAAATTGACAAGGTCACTAGGAAGTTTTCTTTGAAAATTTGATTAATTATTTGGAGTGAGTTACTACTCAAAATTATAATTGGCAGAAAATAATTTAAATTGGATACTAGTACTACTTTACAAATAATGAAAAGCAAAACATGTTGTCTTACAGGAGAAGTGATGATAATCCTTATTCAGGAATCTCATTTAAATTCCTGCGCAGCCCCCTGTCTGGGGTTACACAAGCCCTAATAGTGTACAATTATTGCTCTGTTAAACAGATTATCTCTGAGTTGGTCAGACAATTTGATGGTCCTGTGACAGGATAAGTTTAAACGTTTTTGGATAATGCAAAATTAACATCAGATTAAGCTGAAGGAATACAAGAATGTAGAGTAACAGTAAAGTTCTTTCATACTTCATATAAGCAACGTGTGTACCAGGTGTTTACTTTTTAGGTGTGATTGTAGAAAAATCATGGGTCAAATCATTATCACAGATATATTTCTGCTAATTAGTTTTTACAGATCAGTTGGATACGCTTGAAGTTATCTAAAGAATAAGAAATTTAAAGAAAATCATTTGATTTATTGTACATACTGTACTCTCTAGCAGTAGTCCTGAAACAGCTGTAGATAAAGTGATGATAACGTGATGACATCATTATATCCCGGCTCGGTGGAAATACCAGCCTTCAGCAATTAGTTGGCTATCATTACCAGTACGTGTTTTTGTCTATGTAGTTAAAGCAGTTTGCCTACAACCTACAGTTTAAACAAACCTTTGCAATTATCTCAGTAGCTTTACCAGCAGCCACTGCATCTGGTTTGATGAGAGCAACAGTAAGAGGTCGCGTTTCTATCTTCTCTTCCTCTTCTACTACCTCCTCTGTAAAATTCATTGCATGTAAACATTTCGATTTATTAACTTTGATTTTTGATCAACAATTTGAAAATACATTGTAACATTAATTTATAATTACGATAAGGAATATGTTAAACTCATGATCTAATAACCGGACATAAAGAACAACGACGTTAAAATATAATCAAAATTTTTACCTTCTTCAGGCGTCTCAGGAGCTGGAGTAGCCAACGCTTCGTCGAAAAACTGAGGATAAGAAACAGCATTCACAAAACTGATAAATTTACTCAAGGGGGCAGGGGGGGTCTTTATGAAATTTCTCTCGAAATTGATTTTATAGTTGTTTCTAATAGAGGGGAGTAATATCTATCTGCTACTTTTGGTCCCATGGAAAAATATTGTTCCTAGCCGAAATTATTGCCGGTCAAAGGTCAGTGCTCATGTGTAATTGTATTGCGCGAGCGATTTTCAATCGTGCGCCCTGAAAATCGAGTCTAAAAATCTATTTCCTCCTACATTTTTTGAGCAATCACCTTGAAACTTTCAGGTAGGCCTTTAAAAATTTTAAATTCCATTTTGAAAATCTTGGACCTAGAAAAATCGTCAAAAAAAGAGGTCCAAGATTTTCAAAATCGAATACAAAAATTTTAAAGGCCTATCTCGAAATTCTAAAACAAGTAAAAGTTTCTAAATGGTCCTTAGAACATATCCTGAAAGTTTCAGGGTAATTACTCAAAAAATGTAGGAGGAGAAAAAATTCAGGGCGCACGATTGAAAATCGCTCGCGCAATACAATTACACATGAGCACTGACCTTTGACCGGCAATAATTTCGGTTAGGAACATTATTTTTCCATGGGACCAAAAGTAGCAGATAGATATTACTCCCCTCTATTAGAAACAACTATAAAATCAATTTCGAGAGAAATTTCATAAAGACCCCCCCCCCCCCCCCCTGCCCCCTTAATACGCTATAGTATCATTTGGACAGCTTCTTGGTAGCAGACATGTATTGTGTATTGTTATGAAGTTAACAGTCACTTACTTCAACCCTTTCAGCATCTCCGGCCTTGATCTTCTCTTCCAGTGCTAGATAAGTTTTAATTTTCTGGACTATCTTTGGAACATTAACACCTCTGACAACATCGAGCAATGTACCCTTACCCTGGATGGAAAACGTTTCTAAATTGTCCAAATCTTGAATCTGTTGACTGAATGTTCCGAAGCAAAAGCTCAAAAATCACATTCTTAACTATTTTCTCTTCTTTGCATATAAATTCGCAAGGAAATCGAAAAAGTTGTATGATATCACAATCCATAAAGCTTATTTATGTAGGGGCTGACTTACCGCCAAAAACATGAATGTGGGTTCGCTGTTTCCCTTGTATTTTGACAGGAAAGGTATACCATTTGAACACGCCTGAAAAATATTCATGGTACTAAAACATGGTACTAAGCAAGGTATTTGTCGTGAAACATTTTTTAAAGAGAGACATATTAAACCCTAATCTCCAGAACTAACTGCTGAAAGTAGAATTATGCTGAATTTAATAGACAAAAAGGACTCACTGTTGCAAACTTGACAGGTTTGCCATTGTGCAGGATGTTTTGTTTCTGGAAGGTTCCAACAGCACAGGTGCAATGACCACACCATTCTGTGTACACGTCAATAACTAAAATAATGAGTAAAGTATATTAATTAGTAAAACCAACCAGATATAATAAACAACTAAAATAGTTTGATTAATAGTGAGTCAAGTATAATTAGTTATACTAGTTAGTATACAGATACAATAAATGCATGTGGGAAAATCTTATTGACAAAAATCTAAGCATCGATTGATAACAATTTTGCTAACTAACTTACCCCAGAGATTTTCCTCATCGGTAAGTACCTTCTGAAAATTCTCCTCCGTCTTCAAGTGAACTTGAAACTCTACCATTTTACCCTTAGCCATGATGATGAACTTTCCTTGCCTTCCTATTGAACACAAATGTATACAATTTCTATCCTCAAACAATAAACTCAGCTCATATAATAAAGAAATAAATAAGAGCTTTTACATGCTTCAACGTTTAACAAGAATTTCACCACCGTTACACCACGTATGATCAATTTTCCGTACAACACAGTTATACCAATAATTATTTTAAGTGAAACTGTAGCGCACGTGACAATCACGTCAAAGTTGATGCCGTGTTTTCAGTAAAATAGTAGGGATATATATAGCGATATATATATATATATCGTCTCGCTTTATATATAGTAAGATATGGAATATGATAAAATACGCCATCATGGATCAGGAAATTGAGCTGCCATCTACTTAAAAAAGCAGCTGTATTTCTTGTTGTTTAATGTGCAGGTCTTCAGTTTCTTTCTCTAAATCATCAATTTACAACAAGTGTTTTGCTGCTGAACAGTGTAAAATATACGACCTTATAAAAGCTGACAACAATGTTGCAGCCAGATGGGTGTAATTACGAAAGGCTGAATATTACTTTTGGTTGTATATACGACAGATTGACCAGAAATTCATATATAAGGGCACTTTCAAAAACTATGTTAACGAATCTGTCACGGGAAAAATTTCAACTTCTAGAAGCTCTCATTTGGTGGATAAACTAAGTATTTTGATTAAACTTTTTTTCAGCATAGGATTTGCGATAGTTCAACTTTTACAAAAAGAATAAAATGTCTACTATGTCTATGAGCAGAGATACACGCATTTAAATCAGGGCTAATAATGGTGGATATACTTTTCAGAGGGGTTTGGTGGATATATCATTTGTTGGCCTGTAACTTTACGTGTGGTTAATTTATGGTGATTATTTAAAGATAGAATTGTAGCAAATCGATATGCCTCTATGATAAAAGGCGAAAATAGGAAAGATTTCTATTTTAAGGCTAGATATGGTGGATAATAAAACGATGAAATAAAATTCAATACCGAAAATTTTCAACTGAAAAAATTATATTGGTCAACAAGTTCACCAGCTTTACTCAGTGAACGGATCAGGTTGGAAATCGTTTCAAGTTTATGATAGCATAGAAGATTTAATTTTTAGGCCATTTTTGGTGGATATATTGGAGCTTCAAGATTGATTTAATTTTAAGTCAACTTCTGAGTCAATAATGCAGGTTATCCATTGTTAGACCCCAATTATCTCGTCTAGAAGCTGAAAATGTATACAATTATTGCTCTAGGGCCATAATGAATGGATATAGTTTCATACGAACTTAACAAACTGTTTCCTTTCAGCCTTTAGAGCTGTTTTTGGTGGATAAAAGTACTAAAACGGGAAAATTTGCTTTTGTATCCACTATTTTTGGCCCTAGATGTGTTCTATCATGAAACTACAACTGTTTCTAGATAGAAAATCCCCTTTGCTGAGTCAGTTCAAAAGAATTTTCAGTCCAAGACGACTTTTAAGGTTAAAATTTGTGGATATTAAATGTGAATAACCTACCTCAGTGATTGAAATAACGATTTCTTGACTGATGACGTATGTGATCCACTTTCAACGCCCAATAATTATATCTTAAGGTCGAAAGAGCTGAAAATCATTGCTCTGAGGTCGAAAAGAAGGGCTATAGTTTCAAGTAAACGTTCCAAACATTCTCCATTTAGGTCCGTTTTTGGTGGATAAATGCCTAAGAAATTAGCTTAAAAACGGTTAAATTTGCTTTTTTATCCATTATTTCTGGCCTTAGATTTGCTCGATTATGAAATCATACACTGATATTGGTTTGTTTAGACCTTTTTCTTGTTCAGCACAAAATGTGATAAGCTCAAGCCGACTTTTAAGGCCAAAATTGATGGATATCAAAATATCCAGGTCGATATCTTAAGTATTTTTGAGTTAATTATCCACCAAATTGGCCCTGAATGCTTAAAATGCCATAGTACCTTATGCATAAATGTTCAACATCTTATATTTCATCTTTTTCAACTGTTTCTAATCATGATGATGTCTTATTTATTGATATTTTGGTATCATTTACGTGTTTAACTAGTTAATATTGACTTATATCCACCAAAAATAGCCTTTTAACTTGAATCTTGTACTTCATAGTTGATGCCATAGATTTAACATTGCCTTTGCATCATTTTAAGACCAGTAAATTGATGTTAGCTAACAAATAACAGTCTTAAAAAAGAGGTAAAAAAATATATCCACCAAATTTGGCCCTTAAGAAAAATCCCGGCCCTACTTATGAAATTATGAAGTTATAACGATTATTGTTAAGTCTCAATCATATTTTAGGAGTTTAGATGGAATTAAATATTTTTAAAGGCCACCTGAAGTGGATTGGTCTGTTTCACTTTTATCCACCAGATTTAGCCCTAAATTGAAACAAAAAGTGGCAGATAGTAAAGGTTAGGGTATAGCACACCATATCCTGGAGTTTCATCCCGTTCCAAAAATTATCCACCAAATTATGCCACAAAAACTGATTTGTGGCAAATTTTAACATTTTTTCCGTGACAGATGTTTTTGAAAGTGCCCATAATCAAGATTATTTGCACCCCAGTGTTGATATTTTTATAATGATCTTAATTTTTAGTGGTGGGTTGTTATTGTGGTGTTACTGTTTCTACTGTTGTGCACAAATGACGGTTAATAATAATTCAGTATCTTCTTCTTCTTCAGTATCAGGAGATGTTCATCCACCACCACCAACCGTTGGCACCTACACACCATGGCCAACCACAACCGGTGGTACCAACACACCACCTGCAGCCAGTGGCACCTATCCACCACCTGCAACCGGTGGCACCAACACACCATTGCTCTACAAGATAATGAAATTCCGTGCTCCAATATCGCTACATGAGGGTTACACATTACATGTTTGTCAAGGAAACCCATTCTAAAATGAATGCATATTTTTGAATTTTTAAAATTTAATTTGAGAAATAAGTATAAAAAAATTTTTAATTAGCACTGTATTTATAGCTTATTATAACCATTGATCAAATAAATATGAAAATGAACCTCCATTTGAAAAAAATGAACGCGAATATTTTTCGAGTTGACAAATTCCTCGAACCAGTGGTGGTACTAAGTCATACCAGAAAGAAGTATTTAAATTGGGCACTCGGTGACTGAGCTATAAAGGCCGACGTATGGGTACTGACTTTTGGCCCACCCTGTATGTTATGAATTGTTTTACATCTTTTTATTCTGTAATAATGTGCTAAAATTAAATTTCTTGTTTCATTGAAATTTCTTGTTTCATTGATTGCCACCCCCAACCGGTGGCACCTACCCACCACCTGCAACCGGTGGCACCAACACACCACCTGCAACTGGTGGCACCAACACACCACGCACCTGCAACCGGTAGCAACTACCCACCCGTAACCTGTAGTACCTACCCAGCCCCCGTAATCAAGAAGACGACGATTGGGATATCTACCCAATATAATCACTCGACCACTGGAGCAAACCTATAACCGCCGCCAAGTTACAATGATGTCATCACAAGTGATAGAGGATGATGATGAAAATCTTAAAATAACTGGCTACAATGAGCATTTTATTTGAAACAATAAATAGTAACACAACATAACATAACATTATAAATAATGCCTCTCTGGGCATCTCAACAAGACATTCACAGAAAATGGACAATTTAAATTTAAAACCATAATTAATAATAATAATAAGTAGGAAAATTTATACATCGCTTTATAGCCATAAAGGACTCAAAACCCAAAGATTCAGTTCAAACCATCTAAAGCGACTCATGAGTAACATGTACATAAGAACTTATTTTTATGAAGTATGGATTTTATGAGAAAGGTAATACATGATACCTATACAAATACGTTTTCAAAGAGATGAGTTTTTAGTTTCTTTTTAAATAAGACGATATCGGTTAGTGTTCTCAATTGATAAGGAAGCTGATTCCAAACAGAGGGTCCGCAGTAGCTGAAACTTCTCTCGGTTTTACTATAGTTTGAAATAGGAGGAACATTTAGAAAAACATTTGTTTGCTGTCGCCTGTAAAGTGTTACACATTACATTTACAAGGCCCTGTGTGTAATGTAATCGGTAGTTTGGAGGGATCAGCTTGAGCCGGCTCCGAAGATTCGATTTCCACTCAAATACTGGCCAATGCATAATGCTATAGGACCTCAAAATAAGATTAAAATCTACAAATCCGATCTATTCATAGAAAAATAGTATTATAAAACATTTCTATTTTATCCCTACACATTTGTAAATAACTAAAATTGTGTAACCTTAAATTATTTCAGAATTATAACTATTGTGAATTCAATAAAATAATTATCACTTTTGTATCCTTGCATCCTTGTATCCTTGTATCCTTGTATCCTAGCTTTCACAAGTGGTGGTAGACTGTTCCAGTAGCGCAAGACCCTTTGGGCAAAGAAGTCAGTCTCATTCGTGGTAAATCTGTGTGGCTTCGACCTAGCAGAGACAGTCCTACCAGCCAACCAAATAAATCAGACCCATAATCCACAAAGCCTTTAGCCTTCCTGGATCTTGAACATCTCAATGAGATCCCCACGGACCCTATACTACGCGTACGTTCAAGCAAGGTCGTGAGCTTCAAGTTATCCAGTCTCTCTCTGTAGGTTATGAGGCCCAATACATCGATCATATTGATTGAAATAAATTTTCGTGCACATACAGAATGAATGGTTAATAATTTAATATATATGTAGACCAAGGTCTGTGCACGGGATGCTTCCTGGAAGAATCCAGTTCTTTTAGCGGGGCACCCTACCTAAAGCCAAATTGAGATATAATAATCATATTCCTAGAGAAATAATCAGAAATCGAATACCAATCAAATAATATGATATATAGGAGTAGTAACCATATTTACTATGCAAAATGCCCCAACCACATAGTGTAAATTTATATAGAATTCAAATTCCATATCATCATTAAACCTCAATAGTCAATATAATAGCCCAAGCAAAATTAAATAACTTCTTATATAC